AGGAGAAAATCTACATGACCTGAATTTAGACAAAAAGTTGTTAGAAATGAAGCAAGAAGCATGATCCATAAAAGAAAAAAAATAGTTCTTCATCAAAATTAAGAACTTGTTCTCTGTCAAAGAAACTCTTGAAAATGAAAAGACCAGCTAAAGACTGGGAGAAAATATTTACGATTTATATACCCAACAAAACACATGTATTTAGAATATATAAATAACTCCCAAAACTCAACAGCATCTCATCAAAAAACTCATCAAAAGAGTAAAAAGAGAAACCTACAGACTGGGAAAAAATTTTTGGCTACAACATAGCTGACAAGGGTCTAAACTCTAAAATCTACAAAATATTTCAACACCTCAATAACAAAAAGACAAATAATCCAATTTAAAAATGGGCAAAGGATATGAACAGACATTTCTCCAAATAAGACATTTAGGTGGCTAACAGATACATGAGGAAATGCTCACAATCATTAGCCATTACCTGTTGCTGTTGAGTCGATTCTGACTCATAGCGACCCTATAGCAACCCTATCAGAACGACGAGATACTATCTCACCCTGACAATACTGGCATTAATCTAAAAAACATAAAATGAAAAATGGTGGAGAAGTTGCAGGGAGATTGGAACTCTTATGCACTGCTGGTGGAAATGTAAAATGGTGCAACCACTATGGAAAACAATAGGGAGCCTCCTTAAAAAGCTAGAAATAGAAATATTATATGATCCAGCAATCCCACTTCTAGGAATATACCCTAGAGAGACAAAACCCATCTCACGAATAGAGATATGCACACCCATGTTCATTGCAGCACTGTTCACAATAGCAAAAAGGTGGAAACAACCTAATGCCTATCAACAGATGAATAGAAAAACAAATTATGGTACATACACACAACTGAATACTGTACAACGATAAAGAACAAAGATGAATCTGTGAAACATCTCACAACAAGGATCTGAAGGACATTATGCTGAGTGAAATAAGTCAGTCACAAAAAGACAAATATTGTATGAGACCACTATTTAAAAAAAAACAAACACACTTTATTATTTTAAGAACACGCCTCCTGTGATCCACCTTCCTCACCAGGCCAAGTATAAAGCAAATAATTTATTTGGGTTAACTCTCTTCTTTTCTCTTCTTCTCTACTATCCCTTCACTGGAAATCTTCTTTTGCTCCTACCCTTTGGGAGCACAGGCTGAAAAATAAAAAGCTTCAATTGCCTCATATGTCTCTTGGTACACTTTTAGTAAATCTTCACAAGTGTTCTTTCAGAATGAACTGTTCTCCTCTTAACACTTGCCCAGGTAATAAAACCATAAGAAAGTCAAACACAAACTTCACTAAAACATCACCTATCAAGGTTAATTGGTAACTACAAGGCAAGCAAGGGGACCAAACACAAATTTGAAGTTCCATCTTCATTTCATTCTAATTATAGAAGATTGGACATACTCTATGTGTCTAATTAAAAAATTATGATACATCCTCCTGTAACATATTTTAGCATCATTAAAAATGTTTTATATTTGACATGCTACTGATTAGTTTATATAAGTATACTTATACGAGAATATTTCTATATTTATGGGTATATATTTTATACATGTGAGTATGCAAGTGTCTGAAAAGGTTATACAGCAAAATGTTAGCAGTGGTTACTTTGGGTTCTGAAGTTTGGGGTGAGAGAATAGAAGTTCCAGTCTCCAAAAGAGAAATGGAATTATATGCATCACAGGAGACTTCCCAGGCCCGTGACATGGTAGAGAGAATACGTGACTGAGATACCAACCAAGCCAGTCGATTCTGATTCATAGCAACCCTGTAGGGCAGAGTAGAACTGCCCCATACGGTTTCGAAGGCTGTAAATCTTTACAGAAGCTGACTGCCACATCTTTCTCGTGCAAAGTGGCTGGTGGGTTCGAACAACCCACCTTTTGGTTAGCAGCCAAGCGCACCACCAGATTTAAATGTGACTCTGCCGTTGTCCACAGGGTCCCTCTGGACAAGCCCTTTCATTTCACGGTGACCTTATGTGTGTCAGAGTAGAATTGTGCTCCATAGGGTTTTCACTGGCTTATTTTTCAGAAGTAGATTGCCAGGCCTTTCTTCCAAGGTGCCTTTCCATTTGCAGCCAAGTACTAGTTAACCATTTGCACCAACCAGGGACTCCTCATTCAATATTTACTGAGGCCCATTAGGTGACTGAGACTGTGTTAGACCATGGTGATAGAGACACTAGGCTCCCTGGCCTCTAGGAGTTTATGATCCAGTGAGGAGACAGATTAAATGTATGTTCCCAAATAATTATCAGTTACTTTGTGATAGAAAAGGACAGTGGGATCTGATGAAGTGTTTTTTTTCCCCCCGGCCTCGCCACCTCCCAATTCCATGTTCCCCTCTGTAAAATGAGAGGGTTGTACTCTAGGCTGAGTTCCCTTCTAAGAGTCTTTTGGGGTAAGGCCTTTGGGAAGAAAAACCCAAAATCTGTCCCGTTACAAACTGTGGAGCATGTTGAAGAGTCAAGCTAAAAGGGGATGAACAAAGATTGAGGAGCAGCAAAGCTTTCATGATAGTCTATTCTTAATCAAAACCAATTTAGAGTTTTAAGTTGGGAGGAAAGCTCCATTTACCTAAAACTTCAGTGTTACTTAACTAACCCCGTAGGAAATTTACCCTGCAGAGGAATAAAAGTATGCAGAGGGAAAAAGCCAAGGTGCAATATTAAATAGCTCTAGTTAACAAGTAACTTGATTTTTTTTTTGTTTGTTAAATCAAGTTCACATTATACTCCAGGGATCCACCCCATCCCTGGACCTCTCACTTTGTAAACACAGAGAACACTCAAAATACTTTGGGCATGGTTCCTATCTTACTGCCTGTATCATAAAAGTATTGAATCATTGACACCCACATATTTTCTTTAAAGTTTGCACACACTAAGTTTGCTCCTGAATGTTAAGTTTCCAACTTTAAACGACAAAGGCAAATGGGAAAGTGTTCATCACAGTTTTTAATATTTCCCATAAATAAATGCCTTTACTCTGATGTTGGCCAGTAAAAATGTATACCAGTGGTGTAGTTTTCAAGCTCATATTATTACACCCTTTTCTGTAACTGCAGAGGGAAGAGAATCACATTCTTCCATCTAATTCAATTCACTGTGATTTGCTCTTTTATGACATTTTTATGAAGAGGAAGATACAAGTGAGAAACTGCCCTCATATTAATATACTCACCCTTGATTAATGTCTGTCAAATTTCAGTTATTTTTATACCACCTTCCTGAATTTCCCCATTTAAGGCAAGCCCACACTATTGGGGCCAGGTGTATTTTACAGTTGAGAGTCTAAGATTTACAAAAGTAATATCATGCATATTTCGACTATTACATAGGACCTCTGTATAGCACCCAGAGTCAAACACGTGAATATTTCTGCAGCAAAATGTTTAAACATTCACACAAAAGGAGATGAACACAGAAAAATAACAGTCTCACATTAGTTCAGTTCGGGTTTTGCTGCAGATGTGTTACCATAAACTTATTTAAAAACAAAACAAAAGAAACAAAAAAGCCTGTTTTTTGTTTTGTTTTGTTTTTTTAATTTTAGAATTGTAGATACATTAGTGAGACCTCACCTCTCTTTAACCCAACCATTTTAATACAAATAAATGTTGTTGCTGTTTTTATAATTAACAAAAGGCGGAAAAAGTGAGAAACTGCCTTTCACTGCGGGTCTGCCGACTTCGAAGGGAAATTAACATCTCCCTTTTGATGCTACCCACGCAGCCCCCAAACGCCTCCCGGGCCTCTGTTAGCATCACAAAAGCGCGTTCGCAAGCCAAACTTCCCCCATTCCCTAAGAGGCCTGCTCTGCCCAGGAGATTCCAGTCCTAGAAGAACAAGTTCGAGCACACTCCGAGTAGCAAACCCCGAGCAGCACACCCGCCAAGGCCGGCAGTCGCACACAAGGGTCCGAAATTCCAGGCCCGGAAGACCACCTGGTGGAATAAAAGGCAGGGTCTAAGAAGTTCCAGGAGCCCTGGTGGTGCAAACGGTTAAGCGCTAGACTGTTAACCAAAAGTTGGCGGTTCGAACCCAGCCAGCGGCTCCGCGGGAAAAAGATCTGCCGATCTGCTCCGGTAAAAACTACAGCCTAGAAAACCCTATGGGGCAGTTCTACTCTGTCACATGGGGTCTCTATGAGTCAAAATCGACTCCACGGCACCTAACAAGAAGTTCCACCTGTAAACGCACGTTAAGCCGAGCTGGCCTAAAACTCGAGGCTAAGCGTTCCTTACCCCGGCAACTGACTTTCAGAATACCCCCGGGTACCATGTGGGCCACCCTACTTTGCTAGGAGCTGCGGACCCAGAATGGGCCTTCAACGCCGACGCCAGAAAGTGGCCTCCACGGGTTGGAGGAGGGTGTGAAGAACATGGTAGAAGGCTCCCAGGCTTCGGACTCCCAACCACCCCACCCAGCCCAGTGCCATCAACCTCGCTAACGACCCGGGACCCCGCGGGACCAGCACGGAGAAAGTCACCAGGGTGTGTGAAAAGCTCTTAACCACTTTGTGTTTTCAAAGACACCAACCCAGGGGAGGGGAGTCTGAACCTTCCAGGCACCTTTGAGACGCGGGCACTCATTCCTCCCCTCCTTCCTCCGCCACCAAGAGCTGGGGCCTGGGAGTCTCAGCACCAAAGCCTCTCTGGTAAGCGGGGGAAGGCGTAACCACCCTTCTTTGGAGGCATCTCTGCCTCCTACCGGGCTCCGCCGACTACAGCCGCTCATCATCGTCCCAGCTGGTGGCTCCTCGGTGCGGGGATCCCTCATCAAAGCCGCCGGTGCAGGGAGTTGGTGGCGGCGGCAGAAAACCTAGCACCTAAGCCGCTGCCACCATCTGCCCAGCGAGTCCAGAACTCCGCGCCGTTCAAGGGCCGTGCACCCCAACTCCTCAGCAGTACGAGCCCTCCTTCCCCCAGTTTCTCACCTTGGGTGCTGTGACTGCAGGAAGCGGTGGCCGCCAGCAGGATTGCAGCCCCCAGCAGCCATGCCGTGTTCGGGAGCCTCATCCTTCCAGCAGCCCCCACGCCGGCGGGACAGGGAACTCGCCGTCACTGATTCTAAGCTCCAGAGCCCCACTCGCTGCTCTGAGAGAAACCCACTGTCTCACCTTCCCCTACCTGGAGCCTCTGCGCGCGCCTCCCCCAGCCCGGTAGGTTTCAGTGAAACCGGAGCTGCTAGACTCACCTGCTGGAGGCCACGCCCCGAGGCAGGAACGCGCTGCTCGGCCCCGCCCACTTCGAACGTTTGGCGCCCGAGCTCCGCCCCGGGCCACCTGGCCTTGCTGACCCGCCACTCCTGCCCAAAGTGCACAATCCAGCCTCTGTCCTCTAGGCTGCCGGGCCGCCCGCAGGGGAGATTGGGCGGATGAGAAGACTCAATGGAATGCAGATATCCAAGCCAGGGCCATACCTTTAACCTTTGATTATTCCTGGAGAGCCAGTGAGGAGCCCTGGTAGAGCAACTTACCTTCTGTAAGTTTTACGTTTACTTATAATATAGGGTTAATATTTTTTACTTTAAAGATGTCTAAGGGTACGATAAAGGTGCCTTGGTGGCGCAACGTTTAGTGCTCAGCTGTTAACCAAAAAGTTGGCAGTTCAATCCACCCAGTGTCTCCCCGGGAGAAAGACCTGGCGATCCGCTCCGGAAAAGATTACAGCCTAGAAAACCCTGTGGGGTAGTTTTTCTCTCACATGGGGTCACTATGAGTAGGAATCGACTCAACGGCACACAACAACAACAAAAAGAAGAAAATAAATTGTGACTGTGTTTGGTGCATGGGAGAAGCTCCACAAATGTTCTTTTTGTTCCCTTCCTCTCTCTCGGGGTCTTCTTCAGCTCCGCCCCTAGTGTGTACCCCAGTTCTCAGGATGCTGGCTCCAAGGGACACACTCCTCAGTCCATGCCCTTCTACATACCTCTGATGGTAAATATTGACAGGGACCTTCATCATCTTGTCCAGGAGACTATTCTCCTGATGGGTATGGGGGTCACTCCTGGGCGCTCCTCCCGAAGGGAGATACCCCATCCCTATACGTCCCTTCAATATTTCCAAGCCTTCATTTCCTCATCTGTAAAATGAGGATAATAAAAGTGTCTTTCTTATAAGATGGTTGTGAGGATTCAGTGTGCTAAATACCCATAAACCATTTTTTAATACAGTTCCTGGTAAGCACTCAAGAAATCGTAGCTACTGTAGAATGACTGCTTCCTCTTCCTCTTTCCGGAGAAAAGTGCATCAGAGCCCAGCCCCTTTCTATGTAAAATTTCACTGGTGTTTTATAGAAACGTGCCTTGAATCATCCAAATTTCCGATGAAAGATTTCATTGAGCAGTACTGTGAGTTAATGAATTATCGTAACAATGTGGTTTCGCCCAGCAGCTTGACTGAATGAACTACATTCATTTGAGTCCCTTTGCCGATATTTGGATTGGAGTTTTCTGTGACTGATGAAGTACAGTATGTATTTATTTTTCAGATTTTGAAGACCCTTTTGCCTCGACGGAAATCCTGGTGGCGTAGTGGTTAAGAGCTATGGCTGCTAACCAAAAGGTCGGCAGTTCAAATGCACCAGGCGCTCCTTGGAAACCCTATGGGGCAATTCTACTCTGTCCAATAGGGTCGCTATGAGTCGGAATCGACTCGATGGCAACGGGTTTGGTTTTTTGGGTTTTTTGCCCTGACAGGCTTAGGTGTTGTATGGCTCTCGATACTCCAGAACAATACGGAGAAATGACCACGCCTCCCTGCTTAAAATCCTGAAATAGCTCCTCACTTCTCGCGGAGTAAAACCAAAGTCTGTCAAAGGTTTACGGTCTTTTCACGGAAGTAATACGCGAGTTATACGTTTTGCATACTATGCAACTCCCAGGGTTATTTTCATAAGCGTGCTACGCTAGTATCTTTTACATGTTGCTGACTTCAATTTCATTTTTTTTTTCCTGTCCCGCAGATTTAATGTTAAGTTTTCATTTTGGTGCCTGTTGACGCAGACGTTTGGTTCCCAGCAGCAGACCCTCACCAGCCTACCCTCCAGTTCCTAAAGCAGCTCCTCTCTCCGCAGGATGCGTTCCCTGCTTTTCAAACCGCTTTCCCCAGTGCGGGAAGAAATCACTTTTTCCGCACCCCGACAGCCCTGCCAGGGCAGCCAACCCCAGCCCAGGAGATGTGAGAGTCTGCGCACGCCGAACCAGAGAGGCCGCTCAGGCAGGCGAGGCTGGCTCGTCCCTGCCGCGAACATTTTGCCACGCCATCCGCCAGGCTCGGGCATTTGAATCGCACGCCCGCGCGGAAGCCGCAAGGTGGGCGTGAGAGTCGAGGAGGCAGAGGGGTCGTGCGTCCCTCGCTCAGACTAGACGGGTCGAACTGACCTACCGGGAATCCTCGGGGCGGGGCAGTGCGCTTCGGCTCCTGCACGGTCCTGCCGCCTGGCTTCGCGTGGGGGCGGCACTGCGGAACCCGGGCAGGCGCACCTGGGCGGAGATGGGCACTAAGGAACTCCACCGCTAGCAAACTGCCCGGGAGCAAACGCACAGTTTCAATTGTTTATTTTCCTGTTAGGGGAAACTCGATCCATGACTTCTTGACCATGGCTTGTACCTTTATTATACAAATACGATAATTCAAAAAAAAAAATGTTTTCGGACTATTGAATGAAGGTGAATGAGCTGAGATTTACATCTGGAAATGTCACAAGACATGCACGGTATATGAATGGGCACGCTATGCCAGAACTTTCAAACATAATTTCGTTATTTCCGTGCAACTATATGTGTGTGGGAGCCCTGGTGGCCCAGTGGTTAAGAGCTACGGTCGGCGTTTGGAATCCACCAGCCGCTCCTTGGAAACTCAATGGGGCAGTTCTACTCTGTCCTATAGAGTCACTGTGAGTCGGAATCAACTTGAGGGCAACGGGTTTGGTTTGGTTTATATGTGTGTGAGCGTTATTTACTTGGGGGTATTATTTGCGAAAAATACAGTACACCTCCAGCTCCACACCCACTCGTCCCCTCCCCCCATGCACAACCTCCTTGACCTGTCTCCTAGTCTTCACCTTGAACGTTCTGCCTCGACCATACATGTGCCCCTTGCCATTCCTTTGCCCTTGCTGTCATTTCCTGGAATACTTTTCCCAAAAAATATCTGCATGGCTTAAGTTCTCACCACCTTCAGGTATTCACTAAAATGTTACTTTCTCTGTGGGCCCTCCTAAGAACATCATATTTAAAATTGCACCCCCACCCTATACTCCCTATCCTCCTTCCCTGTGGTATTTTTCTCTGTGGCACATATCACCACTATCTGACGTTCTACATATATTTATTATCTAGCTCCCCATCTGCAATGTAAGCTCCATAAGGGCAGAGATTTTTTGTTTGTTTGTTTGTAGTCTCTTTTTAAAGGATGTATGAAGTAAGACACCATCTGAAGCTAGAAACCACCTATCACACACTTGCCTCTATAGTATCAAGTTATTACTTACGTTCCTGTTTAAACTGCTCTTCTTAAAATACAAAAAGGCAAATGTCTAAAACACTGTAAAAGTTAACCTTTAAGAAGGTAGAGGGAAGGGATTTTTAGCTGTCTTCTCGACTGCCATATTCCCAGTCCTAGAAAACAGTACCTACCACATAGAACAGACTCAATAAATGCTTTTGTAAGAGTGAATTTTAATTTATTGTATATCTACTGACAGGGATTGAATTGTGTACTCCCAAAGTTTATGCTGAAGTCCTAACCCCTGGTACCTGTGAACATGACCTTGTTTGGAAATAAGAAGTTTAAAGATGTTATCAGTTAAAATGAGGTCATAACAGAGTAGGGTGGGTCTTAATCCAATATGAATGGTGTCCTGTAAAAGAGACAGAAAGAGACTTGTGAAGATGGGGGCAGAGACTGGAGTTATGCTGCCACAGCCAAGGAATGCATGGGGCTACTGGAAGCTGGGAGAGACAAGAAAGGATTTTTCCCTAGAGCCTTTGGAGAGAAGTCCTGCAGACAACCTGAATTCGTACTGCCAGCCTCCAGAACTCCGAGGCAAATTTCTGTTCTTACAAGCCACCCAATTTCTGGTACTTTGCTAAGGCAGCCCTGGAAAACTAGTACACTTATTATCTGCCATTTTGCTAGAAGCTGGAGTTGCAAAGATCAGCATCTCTGCCTCTGGCTTCCTGATCAATGGGAGGCTCTTCTCCAAGTGGTGACTCACGACCCAAACTCTTCCTATCTTGTGGCTCTGACATTAATCTATTAGATGAGGTTTATTTGGGCAGAAGATTTTTGAATCGAGTAGCACCAAACCACATGTGGAAAGGTGCTTCCCTGAGTATCAGCAGAGATGTGGTTATATTGACAAAACTCGGAAGCAAAACTTATTTCTGATTGGTTTATAAAATTTACTATTGAAACGCTGTTAGGATTTCATTGGTCAACGAGTGATGTCAGAATCTGCTTGGTCAAGGAGGGTGGTCTAATTTACAGGAAAGCTAGGCTTAAGTTTCAGTAAAGACAAGTCTTAGGGGCTTTGTCCACTTTACTGCCTACGCCATTCTCTCAACCACATGAGTCTATTTTTATTTCATTTAACATGAACATGAAGAATTGTGCATGTAAGTTTTCTATGGCCCAGGCCTGAAAGTGATGCCATCATTTCTGTCAATATTCCATTGACCAGAACCCAGTCAAATGACCATATAGCAGACTGCAAGGGAGTCTTGGAAATACAGTGTGACCCGAAGGAAGAGGAAATGGGTTTACTGGAGCCCTGGTGGCACCATGGTTAAGAGCTCAGCTGCTAGCCAAAAGCGCTGCGGTTCCAACCCACCAGCCACTCCTTGGAAACCCTGTGAGGCCGTTCTACTCTGTCCTATAGGGTCGCTATGAGCGGAAATCAACTCAACGGCAAGGGGTTTGGACGACTAACCAGTCTCTGCTATTCCAGGCAAAATGGGTAGGAACAGGCCCCTAAGAAAGAGAAGAGCATGAAAGAGTGTGGTATGTTCGGAGAACAGTGTGGTGGGAACCCAGAGTATGTGGAGACGAGTGGCTAGTGATAAAGCTGGAAAGGTAGTTGTTGTTATTGTTGTTATTAGGTGCCATCCAGTTGGTCCCAAGTCACAGCAATGCTATGAGAACTGCCC